TCCAGAGGGACTGAGACTGTCTAGCAGCCCTGCTTGGTACAGCCCTGCTGCATTCACGGATCTCAGTCTCAACAGAACTGCTGCTTCTGAGTGCCTGCCGGGGCTATGACACTGCAAAGCACAGCTTTCCATTTCTGTGGAAGGACAGTATCCTATTCTCCACACCAGCTGCTTACAGAAGGAGGGAAAAACCTTGTGATTGAGTTATGGAATCATCTCCAACTAGGCAGAGAATATTTTCAACTCCATCAAGTAAGATTGGGTTGTGGCTTTCATTTCTTAGATGTTCAGTACAGATGTTTGTGTTTCCAGTTCACCTTTATGTAGTGTTTCTAATTGCAGAATAGCCAGTTCATTTAGGCTCCCAGATTTTGGTCACCTCATCTCTGGTGGCAGTAGTTTCCTCAGTTGTTTTGTGCTGTTCTGCAATGTTATTCAGAGGATTAGCACATTTCTTAGAACAAACCACAATTACTGGAAAAGACAGGTAATAACTACATATCTCAGTATTTACTTCATTACTGGATAACAGGGAACCAGCATAGAATTTCATTTGCCTTTTTAAAGTATTTACACTTTTTAAATGAACCACTTATTTTTGTGCCTTTAATCCTGACCTTTTCTGTTCATTCTACTTGAGATCCTTGAGAACAATGCATAGGAGAGTGGCCATTGTTCTTCACAGAGCTTGTTCTTTGGGGTTTTTTCCTGTCTGTCTGCAGGATGCAAAATTCCTTACCATTCTGTAATCCAAAATCTTGTTACTGGGACTTGATAAATCATCTTGACATGTAGATGGGCAGCTAAGATGTCATCTCAAGTGTCACTCTTTTCAAGTGAACCTTTAAATATATCAAAGCCATTCTTCAGTTTTTCAGACCCCAACTTCACACATTAGTGTAGTACATCTTTCATCACAGGAAAGATCAGGATGATTTGCATAGAATAATTTTCTGCTTTCATTTTGTCTTTGTATTAATAACAATTTTTACATTAAAAAAAAAGTATAGTGACAGGAGAAGCAACATGTCAGCCTTGTTCACACCTAATTCTGTCCTCAGATCAATAATGTGTGTCTATGCAGTTTTTAAAATTTTTATTCCTAGATCCTTAAGTCGGGCAAAAATGTCATTGAAGCCAGTGGGAGTTTTACTCTATCTGATATAATATTTGAGAAGGAACATTATGCTTGTGGACTGGAAAGGCTAATTTTGTAGGTATCAGGCTTGTCATGCAGGCAGGCAATGTCTGGGAGTTCTTTTTATGTTGGGTGTTGATGTAGGAGCTATTGCATCTCCTCCAACCTTTAATTTTGTGTAAAACTGTGTGTCATTATTCATCCACACTGTCTATCCATAAAAAAAAGAACAAGAAAAAGAAAAAAAAAAAGAAAGAATATCTTCTAGGATGGAAGGATGGAAGGAAAAAACTTTACTTCAGACTTTGTATGTCTTGGACTCAGTGAATGACTTGTCTGGTAAAGAACGACTGATCTGTGAAAACTACTGTGATATTGACTACTATTTTTTAAGACCCTTACGCGATTTTAAAGATTTATTCTTCTGAGTTGCCAACCATTTACATCTGGAGCATCCATATGAACACTGGGTTTGAGGTATCTCCAGTCAAATACTCAGGTTTTATAAAGTTTTAGAAAATAGTGTTCATAGAATCCAAATCTCATAGTCCATAGGTCTTTTTAAGTTCAATTTTGAGGACCAAAGAATAATAGTAATGATACGCTTTCATGTGCGGGCTTGAATATTCTCTGTAAGTAATAGAAATAGCATTACCCCACTGGGGCTCTTTTCAGATGAGAAATGACATGTAATGATATTTTAAAGGAATGCTATGTGGGTTAATTATTGAATGATATCTATGCAGCTTCTAAAATGGCAGATTTGCATTCTGTAGCAATTAAAAGGCCACCATAGGAGCTCACTGCTGCTTCTCAGTCCTGTCTGACCAGAACTTATTCCAAGACTGGACTTTGCTGTAGTAAGAAGAAAGGAAAAATTAAGATAAAATAAGGGAAATAAATGCTGACTCACTTTCTTCAATTAAGACTTCACAAGAGAAGTTTAATTTTAGTCTTAGCAAATAACCAGGTGTTCTGATCTTCTGTGAGTATTTATACTTCTTTATTTTAATAGAGAATTTATACTTCTTTATTTTAATAATTTCCCTCAAGGCCAGTATAAGCCAAGCATGTAAATCCCAGAGAACTGATGAAAAAAGGCAACCCCATTCACTTAAATGTAAAAATAAACCATTTGGCACGCAAAGAAGAATCTCATAAATTATTATTTCTTTTCTTTCTCTGTCATCTAGTACTTTCTTGGCCAGATTGAAAGCACATACAGTTTCCTGTTTGCATTTTTTTGCTTTGAAGTGATGGTGAATAGATTCATTAAATTAGAACAAAAAATCTGCTAATCTGTTGCTTGTCTTCTATTTCAGTGAATGATCTAAAAGGCTGAAAGTATTTGTTGCAGTGCTGTCTGCAGTTTGTTGCAAGGGAAGTAACCTTAATCAGATTTTTAAGATATGTTTTCCTTCCAGCAAAATCTCCAGGTCACAGCTTTTCCAATTACATGGAGAAGAAGGCAAGGAGACAAAGCTAGTCTGGGGAGCTTTCTCTTTCAGCAGCAAAGTTTGCATTTCTTTTAATGTAGTTAAAATGTTTGACAGGAGAGAGTAGGGTTTAGTGATGTGAGGTGATTTCCAAATGAGTGTTAGCTTTTTGCTGACCTACTTTTGACTAGTGGTGTATTCTTGCCCATTACTTTTTGTCATTGAATAATGCTGATATATTAAGCTGTGTGCTTCAAGGGCACTGTAAAATTGCATGTAGGGGCAGGACTGAACTGTGAAAGTGTGAATTACTCTATCAGATCAAACCCAATTAAAAAGTGACAAGCGCAGCAGGAGAAATTGAAAGCAAGGTTTATCTTTCATGTAACGTAAGAAGTCACTATATTGGTTAGAAACAAAGTGAGTGTGAAACAGATTCTCCACCGCTTCTCATCCCTCTCCAAAAATTAATAATATCTGCTGACTTTATTATCCAAAAGAATAAGCCCCTGAGTTGTAACAGCTCCTGTTGAAGGACACTGTGACAATGGCAAGAGAAGGGAAGTACAGCGCCCGAACACCTTGAAGCTATTTGCTAACAAAGCGTGCACTGGGCCTCAGGTCAGCACATTTGGGAATTGATGGATAGGGAGTTTGCAAGAAGTGGTGGCCATTTTTATAAAGCTGTAGTGTGTCATTAAAGAAAGACTTGCCATCTTGCAGGCTTTCCACAGTTCTACAGGAAGTGTAGGAATAAAAGCATGGTAAGGAAACGGTGAGCTTTTACTAAGCACTATAGTTGTTACAGAACTGCTACAAGCCAGGGAAAGTTATTTAGTCTCCAGTGCCATTGCAGAAATCCTTATAAACCCTTTTGCATAACATCCATCAGCACTCTTCTAATGAGTAATGGGGCCTGTGAATGTATAAACGAATGCAGTCATGTATGTACAATACAATATTGCAGAATCCTGCTTCCAGACTATTGGGGCTGTGGTGGGTTTGGGTTTTTTGATTGTTTCAGGTTTTTTGTTGTTTGGTTGGTTTGTTTGTTTGCTGATCTAATAAATTTGTATATCAAGCAAAACAAATCAAACAATGAAAAAGTAAATCAGCCTTGCAAAATGTGTTCTATACTTGCCATTGCATTGCAGACAGCTTCAGTGATGTGTGACTGCTGTGTAACCTGGTGAACACTGCCTTCTGCACACAGTCAATGTTACACTGACCCTGATGCTTGCTGCTAATGGTATTACCTCAGTGAACTCCACTGTGTGTGAACTTTAGCACAGCTGATTTGGCTAATGCCGAGTTTTCAGGCCAGGCTTTAGTGGGTGACATTCGAGTTTGTGAGGGAAAAAAACCCAACAAACACAGAAGGGGAAAGCACTTGTGTGTAAGCTGTGCTTGGAGCTGTTGTATTGTAAGAAGGTGGGGGAGATGAGTGGGTAAACTCACAGGGTATCTAACCCATGTAGCATGTTTTTCCCATAAAAACAATGATGCTCTGTAGGATGCCTCTTCATATAAAATATATATTTGATGTACAATGAATTAAGACCTTAAAAGTGACCAAGTGATTTACAGTCCTACTGGACTTGGACTTTGCAAGCAGCTGTTAGGGAGGGGGGAAGAAAAGTTGTCATAGTATGGAAATGGTTATTATCTAAAAGCCTCTATTTTCCTGGAAGAGGTTTGCTTTCTACCATTGATGAAGTAGCAATGGTCATTCAAAAGAACAGCTTTGTTGCTGTGTGTTATGATAAACCGTCTTTTGGAATGCCTTCTGGATGAAGAAGTTGTAGGGACTCAGAGAATGTCTAGGTCTGAACTTTAAAAACAAACAAACACACACACAACTGTTCCCCCAGACACCAAACCACAAAAAACCTCAACGTAAATTTCATAACAATCTTGAGTGGTATTTCTTTTCATTCTATACTGTTTTGGTTTTATCAGAGAAGTTTGATACAAGACTGATAGCAATTTGAAGGACTGTTGTGCATGGACTGATGCTTTTGTTAGGCTGGCTTACTTCTAAAGATAAAGAGGAGTAATGGGTACTGCATGGGTAATATTTTTTTTGTGGGGATGATTTCTGTTAGCCGTCATTGTCTGTTTTTTATTTTGTCAAGAAGAAGCTTCTACATACTGTGTGTTTGTTAGTCTCAACATTTTCTGGCCCAACCAAGAGGTTAATGCATTTGTTATTGATCTATTATTATAATATAGATACAAAAGACTTTCAAGAAAAAAGGGAGAAAACACCCACACTGCAATTTGAATGTGAAAAAGATTAATGAAATTCTTATTCCTAGCTGACATGTGTAAAGTATGTGGGTAAGAGATGAGTTGGTTTAAAAAAGGAAAATCCACATAGAACTGTACAGTTATATCATTAACTAATTTTGGCCTTTATTTTGCAGTGACCAGTATAAAAGAAAATGCTGAGAAGTACATGGAGATTCTGGTGGATAAACTACATAGGTAAGAATGGTATCATGAAAACCTTTGAAATCTTAAAAATGCTTGTGCACACAGCATTGATATGCATAAAATTGTTAAGGAACTGGCATTAGAATAATACCAAAAATAGTTCAAAGTAGGAAATACTGTTTGTGTTAAAAGCTCTGTTCATGGCTGCATTCAGCAGCCTGGCAATGGGTGCAGGTGAAAGAAAGAATCACTGTATTCTCCAGTGCAAAGGGCTGCTCTTGAGCAGCAGTGGTCCAGCCTGAATTATTGGGGATATGACAGCTGGGTGAAAAATCACCCTTCCGCTCCTGTGCAAAAGCCAATACTGAGCAGGGCCAGAGAATCCCATAGCAGAGTTCTGGGCATCTTTAGCAAGTAATGACAGTCCATATAACAGTTTTGAAAAAATGCCAGTTTGGGGTACTGCAGAGAGCAAATACAAACCAAGACAACAATAGAGATATTTTAAGAACTGAATCCTAAAGCAGAATTTACAGATTTTTATGCCTTTGGTTTTTGAAGCAAATGCTAATGTTTCTACTTCCTTCTCTTGCTGTGTGAAGAGGGTTCTAGGTGACCCCTCTGACTTTAGGATTCTCCTTGAAATATGGTTAGCAAATATTACAGTGTTGTTGTAATGGAATCTTCTAGTGAGTGAACTTTGCCCTGAGTGAATATATTTTTATTGAAAAAGGCTTTCATGGGTTGTAATTGCAGTTTGTGTCTTAATAAAATGTAATCCACCAAATAAGCAACAGTTCCATTTCCATTACTGAGCAGATGTAGTTAATAAATTGTTACCCTTGCTATTTTTTTTTTTGTATTGATAAAGAGAGGGTTCTGTGTATTTAGTTTTGCTCACTCATACTTTTGAATATAGAAATATTTATTTTATCAACTCATAAATTTAAAAGACATGCCGATCTACATGAAAAATGATTGGAAGCAGACCTGAAGATCAAACTTTGTTTCTGTGTGCTGCTTAACCCTCTCTTAACATATTTATGCCATAATAATATTTTATTATTTATATACTTCAGTCTATAAGTTTAAGACAAGTCATAAGAACTTTGTGTGCTGTCTTTTTGAAAACCGTACTCTTTATTAAAAAATAACGTATAACGACATGTTTTGATGCTTCTAGAGTGTATGGATTTAATTGACATATCAGGCTCCCGAAAGGATGTAAATTTCTCTTTAAGTGTTAAATACTTAGAGAAGCTGTATGTTTGTTTCTCCTTCCAGAGGTTTATCACATAGAATTTGCAGGTCCCAGATGGTGAAGATTCAGTCCTGAACTTGTTTTCCAAGATGTGCAAATGGTATTAGTCTAAAAATAGTTCAAGTAATTAAGAGCTAAGAATTTGTTTGAATACTAATGGAAAGAGAAAATCTTTAATGCTTTTATGAGAAAGAAGCTTCCAAGACACTATGTCTTGAAAAATATTTTATTTTTATGCTATTTTTATTTTGGGTCATTATAGATATTTGGTTTTTTTTATAGGTTTTTTTTTAGTTTCTTTAAGTAGTTAGCTACACCTGCTTTACAGCTTGAGCAATAAAATAGAAAAGCAAGCAAGAGCCCAGGAGGCTTCTCCAAACCCTGCCCCTGCTTAGAGCAGTAACTTGAGAGAGTTTGTCTTTTTTTGGTTTTCGTATAGATGCTCATATTACTCATTTGTATATATCATAAGCTAAAGAAAGAGTCTCTAAGGAAAGTTTAAAGAGTAAGTTTTAAGATTACATTTTAGACAGAGATAGAATTTGCATCTGGCTCATGGATGCACTTTTGGGGAGGCTCTTGAAACCAAAAGAGGATCAAGTCTGGGTAGCATGAATTCAAATAAGCCTCTAAAGCTTTTCTCCAGATGAAACCTATAATTTTGCCAGGTAATATTTCGAATAAAAACAGCCTAGATTGAGAACCCTTCAATTTAAGATACAGCGTCAAAGTAAAGCAGAACTCTTAGACATGTCATGTTCGACCACTTTATAATGGAAAAGGAAGTTAATGAAGAAATCTCATAACAAAACAGCTTTAATGAAGATTCAAGTTTCAAAAAAACAATTTTGTCAGTTAATTTCCCTCCCCCCTTTCCCTTTTATTTTCTTAAGAAAAGTTTGGAATATATTCCTCTTGTCCTTTTTTTTTTTTTTTTTTTTTTTTTTTTTAATGGAGAGAGGAGAGGGGAACCTAGCTTATTTGCTGGAATACTTGTTGGGGAGGTGGGTTTGTTTTTTGTTTTTTTTTTGTTTTTTTTTTTTTTTTGGTTTTTTTTTTTTTTTTTTTTTTTTTGTTTTTCTTTTTTTTTTTTTTTTTTTTTTTTTGTTTTTCTTTTTTTTTTTTTTTTTTTTTTTTTGTTTTTCTTTTTTTTTTTTTTTTTTTTTTTTTGTTGGTTGGTTGGTTTTTAAAACAAATGCAATACTTTTCACTGCGACCTAAAAGATGCATCCATTGTTGGGTAGCTTAATAGAATATGTTACAGTAGGAATGCTACTCTTTTGATAGCCTTGTATCTAAAGAAAAAATGGGAAAACATGCATTGACAAAAAATGGAAATACGTTCAGTAGCTGACAATTTCACACCAAGGAAGGCAAAGCACCCACTAAGTATACAGATTACTTGACATTGTTTCTTCCTGATTTAAAATATAGGTTGTATTCTGACAGTGGACTGACAGTCATTGAAGAGAGTATCCCCAAATAAAAGAATGAACAAATAGCATGTTTGATAATGCTGCTGGCTGTCTCTTTCCTAGTCACCATGGCATACATCAAGCCGTTCTTCAAGTTTATACATTAAATCATTGGCTGCTCTCTTGAGACTGTAAATACCATTGCTTACCTTCTGTTAGGAAACAGGAGATGCGCAAAAGTGGTGAGAGTTAGGATAATAAAAGCGAGTTCAGCAGAGACCTTTGTCTTTGTGAATATCTGAAGTACAAGAAGTTTTGTGTTGACAACTTCAGCTCATCACTTGAGCCATCTAGGAGGAATTGTACAAGAGAAGTTTACAGTAATTGCTCTAGCTCATTGAAATTCAGATGAGCATCTTCTCACGGGACCCTTGTTCTGCCACAGAAAGTGGGGGTTTTTAATTTCACTTATTTCTACACCAAGCGAAGGCTTTGCTAGCACTTTCTATCATTACCATTAATAAAGTGTACTTCAGCCATCCAACTCTTTTAAAAACCACCAAGTTCTGCCATAAGTGAGCTTTAGTCATGTAAATGGGTGAGAGTCACAAACTGATCCTAGTCGAGAGTGCTGTAAAGCCATTAAAGATTTCATCTTGAGTTGTTAGTGCCTGTGTGTCAGGTTACAGAAACTCTCATGTCTGCTGTAGGGAAACTACTGTGCTAAGGCTACTGAGTAAGTCCTTCCATAAGGTTTTCCCTCTTGTCTGTGGAGCAGAACAGGCATGCTTGGGAGTGCCAGATGGTCTGTGGTAATTTTTTGTAACCCATGACCCCCCTCAGTTGTGCTGAGGGCTGTTCCAGCTGCTAGTAGTATCTTAGCATTGCACAGATAGGAATGAAATGTCATCTTTGCCTGCCTGCCTGCCCCCAGGACTGTGTGTTTTCTACTGTGCTTCCAAGAGACTTCGCAGCCCCATCCCTTGCTGGATAATGATCTGATCTTATTTTGCTTAGCAACAGTTCTGCCGCTAGAGTGTTAAAATGCAGGTTAGACAAAATACTAGATCCTTCTAGTGACTAATTTAGTTCCTTTCTTCTTCCCAGCTGGTCTAAGTCATACACAGCTGTGAGAACATTAGCTCCAAAATTCTGAGAAGCAGACACTTTATATGTGGTGATGCATTCCTTTATATCTCTTGGCCCACATGGTGATGACTTCTAAATCCCTTATCGTTGCTGCCTCAGGCTGGAAATGAATTTTTTGTACCAGCTGATGTAAAGATGACATTTCTTGAGCTGAGGGAATTTAATGTGGTTGTACTGTTCTCCAAACCTCTAAAGATTATGCTGTGACTTCCATTCATCACAAAACCAGGGCTTTTAAGGGGCTTTTCCTAATTCCCAGATAGGAATAATGAAATTATTTTTGAGGAATAATATTGTTCAAGAATAACTGATGACAATTACACTAAGGTTTTTTTATTGAGCTGTTTTCTGTGCTATCCTGCAAGAAAGGGAAAATGCATAAATATGACAAGAGGCAATACTGCAGTGACTGTCATTGTTGAATGATAGAGCACCAGAGAACTTTGCAAATGTATGCAAAACCTTTCTTTAACTGACTTTGTTTTGCTGTTTGTCTTGGGTTCATTTTCTGTTCAACAATTAAAGGTGCCTTTATTTTTATTCATGGATACAAAGTAGGGAAAATGTCATGGAGTCTTACTCTGATGTAACTTGTGCCCATCTGCATGGCTCCTTGTTCACTGAGATGTTAAGATAGTTGGTGTGATGAAGGCACCTTGCATTTATTGAAGCAGCAGGAATCGAGCCCAAGGTTTGTTTTACCTGATCTCATGTATGGTTTTTTTTTTTTAGAAGTTTCAATCAAATGTTATTTGCCTAGTTCAGAACAAATGTGGCTGTAGCCTGGTTGCTCAGACTGCTAGGGCATGCACGTATTCTCTATCACAAACAAGCATTTCTCATGCAGACAGTGCTTTTAATGCATTTGAGGATGTCATCTTCACTGAGATCCTGCCCCTTTAGGCAAGACATAAGATGTTCTGAGGGTCCCATACCATAAGAGGACAGGTCAGGATTAAATGCCACCACATCACCTTCTGGTTTACATGAACAGTCTTAGAAATTACTGTCTTTCCTTATTATTCACTGTTACCTTACATACCACATGCCTCAGGTCTCCTTTATAAAATACTAAATTTTAGAAATGGTTTTGGGAGCAGAGCTGGGTATGAATGCTCTGAATGCCACAGCACACTAAAAGGACAGTGTTTCACACTGCTGATGGTCTTAAACATGGTCTCAGAGCACATCAAAAGGACTGTGTATCCTTGCAGATTTGTAGCTCT